ACCACAGTATTTTCCATTACTTAAATGCCAAAACATTCTTTCAAAATAGTAAAGTTTATTACTGTAGACACACGCGGTAGTGTTCTGTGCTGTGTAGTGAAGCGTAAAATAGTGAAAAAACTAATATTAATATGAATTCAATTATAAAAAACTCAATTTTAGCTGATATCTGGATTTCTACTCGTCCATCAGATAGAGTGTCTGCATTATCTGCATTTTTTGAAGACAAATTAATACACGCTAAATGCGACAAAGCACTTTTGAATCAAAAAATAAAACTTTTTAATAGTGAGATGAAAAATAAGTGGAATTATAGTGGCCGCAAAAGAAGCGCTTTTGAAAAAACATATTCTAAATGGCTAAATTGGACATTCCTTTCCCTTCCGGATTCCAATGGAAATAAGGATAAATGTGCTGAACGGGGAAGACCTTCTAAAGAAGAATTTTGCGAAGCTTCACGGAGAACAAAAAATCGAAGGGTAGAGCATTTGTTGAAAAACTATTCCATCGAAGAGCTCGAGTATGCTCTGAAAAAAATGAAAAAAGCAAGCAAAGTAGAATGTTTTGAAAGTAGTACCGAAGGTTTGCCCATATCTGATTCACTCGCACTATACATAGATCTGAACTTATCAGATCGTAAATATAATAGTTTACGTGCAAAAATAAACCGGTTGCATAAAGATTGTATACCGAGCTTAAACGCATTGCAAACAAAAAAACAAACTTTGCTGCCAACGATTAAATCGACTGAATATTCAGCCGAAGTTGATCTGAAATCATTATTGCTGAAAACAACGCAAAGTATTTTAGAACTAAGCCCAGATAATGGTGACATAACCAAAGCTTCTTTGGTTTGTAAGTGGGGCATGGATGGAAGTTCGGGGCATAGCCGCTATAAGCAAAATTTTGGTGACGACAAATTAACGGATGAGTTTATGTTCATCATTGCGCTAGTCCCTCTGAGGTAACAAAAAATTATCTAATATGTCTTCCAAAAACATTCAATAGCCTTTAAAAATAAATTCGAGTTTAGATCAGTAAATGGCATTTTAATTTACATTGACAACTTTTTACAGTATTATTTTGCAAAAGGCTGGTCTGAATTAATTAATTTACTCGATTAGCTATTTTGCGATATGACGGTCTTATATCTTTTCGACAAGCCATATAAGTTATTAAAAAATAAATATTTTTTCCAGGTTAATTGATTTGTCATCCAACAAAAATATATGGACCAATAACAAATGCTCATCGTCTTTTTATTGTCGTCCAATTAAGTTTAGTTTCAAGAAGGAAAACCGCGAACTAGTTCTATTCGAATATAATGATATGTCGAGAAAAATTGAGAACTTAGAAGATGATGTTGTAATACGAAACGGAAAAGGGATTCAAGTTTCTTATCAAATGCATTGCACCATGATTGATGGATCTGTTGCCAATATTTTGACTGGCACTAATGCTTCCAGTAACTGTTTTATTTGCCATGCCAAACCGACCGAAATGAATGTTACTAATTTTACAAAAGTACCAATCGCTAATCATTACAAGTATGGGTTGTCTACACTGCATGCTTGGATTAGATGTTTTGAGTGTTTACTCCACATCGCATACCGTTTAACATTTAAATGCTGGCAAGTTCGCAAAGAAAACAAAGACGCCTTTTCTGCGAATAAAGTTAGGATTCAAAATGAGTTTAGGACAAGATTAGGCTTAATAGTGGACCAAGTAAAGACTGGATTTGGAACAACTAATGATGGCAACACAGCTCGCAAATTTTTTTCAAATGCAGAAGTGGCATCAGAAATTACCGGCATTAATAAAGAGCTAATTCAAAATTTTTCAATAATACTGCGATTAATATCGTGTGGAATGCGTATTAATATCGACGCGTTTAGAGAGCTCCTTATAAGGACAAGAACAATGTATTTGACTGAATACGAATGGTACTACATGCCTAGCAGCGTGCATAAAATATTGATGCATGGGTGTGAGGTTATTGAGTATTTCGATCTACCAATTGGTAAGAAAATCGATTTGTTGCTATTCGGCATTTTTTACTACTACGAATTTATTCCCACAGGCAATTTTTCAGAGGAAGCTCTGGAAGCTTTACATAAACACATACGTATCGTACGATATGATCATACACGTAAAACTGCTCGGGAGCATACAAACAGAGACTTGATGTCATACTTAACAATATCATCAGATCCTGAAGTAGTTTTTAAAAGGAGTGCTATCCCAAACAAAAATGCAGTTTATACAATGGACGAGCTGGAAGAGTATTTAGTCGATGCTGAAGAAACTTAAAAGTAATAAGTACCCTTCAGTCAACTCAATTAGTTTTATACTAATCAAATACTAGTCAGCCACACGGCCTCAACTAGTTCGAGTTCTGTAATTTTTCCATATAAGCAACTGGCCGCGGCGATGTCCTACGAGATGGCAATTGTCCTCTTCTGCATCAGCACTATACCAGTTGGCATACTAGTCAGCCTCTGCATCAGCAATATATCAGTTGACATACTAGTCAATATATACATCAATATCATACCATTTAAGATACTAGTTCGTATATACGTCATGATCGTACCTGTTGGCATACTAGTCATTATATATACCATCAGAATCATAGCAGTTGACATACTACTCAGTCTATGCGCCAGAACATACTAGTCAGTATGCACGTCAAGATCCTACCACTTGTCATACTAATCCACGAATTTGACATTCATTCCAGTTGGTATACTATGGGACGGGATTTTTCTGATTAGTATGATTTCTAGTATAGATTACACTTTTTCTGACTAGTATGATATCAACCCGAAATTCATGTATGAATACACCACAAAATTCATGTTAGATAAAACAAATAATTTTTGATTCAGTATTTTGCAACAACTCTTGTTCGTGCGAAGTAACTAATAAAAAGGAAAACAAAATTATATTTGTCTTTTGAGTATTTAATGTCGTCTTGAATGAATCAAATTTTTTAAGCGTGTGACATCCACACCAAAAGATATAATCAATTTAAAAAAACATTTTGTAGTCAAAAAGGACCAAAATGAAAGTAGCTGCCATTCCTAGAGGGTTTGCGTAAGAGAGATATAGGGAATCTTTTTTGCCATGAATTAAGCCATAGAATGAAGCCTTGAAGTCTTTAATATTATTAGGAAAACGCCCTGTATAAATAATAAAATAACTACTCAGTATTGGAACTACTTCTGAATATCAAATTTTGCAGTTTCAATCTCAGTTTCCATGAAAAATGTAAGAGCTAGGTAAAAAAAAAATTGATTTTTGAAATCTCCGTACTCTAATCCACCAAGAAACGAATTTTTACTCAAATCCGTCCATTATTCTATTTTTGCCCACTTTTTATATGGAGACACAGCACTGTGGGGCGTCACCCCATAAACAAAAAAAAAAAACCAACGTCACTGTTGGCAGTTATACTTTTGAGAAAGTAAAGAATTTCGCTTACTTGGGAACCAGCATTAACAACGGTAATAATGTCAGCATGGAAATCCAACGCAGAATCACTCTTGCCAAGCAGTGCTACCTGCGACTGAGTAGGCAATTCAGGAGTAAAGTGATCTGTCGACGTACGAAAACCACACTCTATATCATGCCCGTGCTGGTATATGGCGCAAAAGCCTGGACAATGACAACAACCGATTATCAAAAGATGGACCACAAATACGAGATTTTATAAGACTAAATTTCAAGCCGGAAATGTAAAACGAATATCATGATTCGGCGTGGTAAATAATGTTGTTGTTGTTGTAGCGGCTACAACGACGCCGCCCAGATCGGTTAGTTCCTTAAACGTTGTCGTCAAGCTCCACTAACGGCAGCCCTAGGAAGCGTGCAGCCTCGACGGGGTCTGTCCATTTGGAAAGGGGAGTTAGCGTGGTGGGGTTAAGGGGGCATACGAAGAGATGCTGTGAGTCATGGAGCGACTCTCCGCATGCCGGACATTCGTTTGGAATATCTTCGGTTAATCTGCTCAGGTATGAGTTCAACCTGCTGCAGTAACCAGACCGCAGTTGGGCTATTGTGGTCCGAGTCTGCCGAGGCAGACGAAGTTTTGTATCATCCACGTCTGGTGGTTGTGTAGCCAGAACGGCATTCACAGGTCGGGAGTCTACATAACTCGAGACTGCCTCTCTGTGAATGTCGTTCAAGGTATGTCGATAAGCTGCCGGGTCCAGAGTAGTGATGGCAAAAAAACTTTAATAATCGATTGATCGGTTAATTGATTAATCGAAAGAATTCGATTAATAATTCCAGTTAATCGTAAGAAATTAACCGATTAAAATCGAAAATAATAAAAACCATTTACTAAGTTAAAAAAATTGACCATGAATTCAGTGCGCAAACAATCAAGAAAACTAAAAACTAAGGGAAACAATAAATAAAAAGAAGTAAAGTAGTATACCATCCCTTATACACCCCGTGTCAAAATTATAAGCGCATCACAAGAATTATTTTTGTTATTCAAAAAATTCGAGCTTTTTTATTTGATTCCTTAGAAAGATTCTCAGTATGCGTAAGCCCATTGCTGCCGCTGCAAAATTGAAGTATCACTTACCGTTGATTTTTGACAATTTTTTCTACGGTGATGCTTATTTTCTTCCATATAAAAAAGCGTGTGGAAGCAATTGCGAAACACCGCATTTGGAAAATAAAATGAAAATATGTGGATACCTGCGTTGCGTTTTTTAGTTGTTTTATTTGTTTAATTGTTAGGTTAAACTTGTGTTGCGCTTTTTGCAAAAATATCGTTTAAAAAATTTGCAGAATATGAGAATATAAAAAATCTCCCAACTAGTAAAAGTATGCATGTATATGTATGTACCCGGTAGAATGGACACTTTTATTGTTCCTAATATTTTTGAGTGGTAAGAATGCCAATTTTGTTACGGAATTTTGATTCATTATTGTGTGAGTAAAGTAGCCAGTTTTTGATGATTTCTTTTCGATTATTTTCAAAATTAATCGGTTAATCGCTCGACTAATCGAAAGGAAAATTTCGATACAATTAAATCGTTAACCGAATGCAAATAACCAATTATAATCGGTTATTCGATTAATCGTGCCATCACTAGTCCAGAGGTTGATTGATGAACCTCTGGAGACTTCGTCCGTCAGTTTGTAAAGATGCCTCCTGACGCGCCTGGGCGAAGGCTCTTCTGCAAGGAGTTGCCTGTTGGGATGGACACATCTGTGGCTCCCAACCAGCAACTGCCTGCAGAGCACTATGTTATGCTCCTTAACTGGGAGCATTTGGGCCTCCTCGTGCAGGTGGTGTTGCGGCGACATTAAGAGGCATCCTGTCGCTGTCCTAAGTGCCGTGTTTTGGCAAGTCTGCAGCTTCATCCACTGCGTCCTACTAGTCCCCGGTGACCACACAGGCGCAGCGTAGTTCAGAACCGGCCGGCCCATTGCCTTGTACGTTGCCAGAAATGTTTTTTTGTCTTTGCCCCAGGTGCTGCCGGCTAGCGACTTGAGGACCTTGTTGCGGCTTTGTACTTTGTTGACAATTGAGCTTGTATGCGCCGAGAAGGAGAGCAGACTACCAAATGTTACTTCCAGTATATTCGGGTTGTTAACCGTCGGAATTGGTGTATCATCGACGTGAATTCGCTGTTGGAGTCTGACCTCCTTCGTCCAGACGGTAAAAAGTGTGACTGAGGATTTTGTAGGGGAGAGGGTTAGGCTCTGTGCAGTGAAGCGAGAAATCTCGGCGAGATAATCGTTTACTTTCGGGCACAAGTCATCAACTCCATTCCCGGACGCCATGATCGAGCAATCGCCATCATAAGAGACAATCGAGACTCCCCTGGTTGAGGGAGCTTTGAAATGTAAAAGCTAAACAGTAATGGGGAAAGACCACCCTGTGGAACCCCCTGTTTTATTCTCCGCGGTGTGTTCGATTTGTCTCTAAAAGTTACTGACGATTTACGACCACTCTCCCTGTGGGAGAGAGGAGGCCTCTATGTCTTCTAGTAGCGTTGAATAGCAGACAGTATTAGACAGGTCGAGCGCCATTATATTGGTTCTCTCACAGGGGCGCTTTCGGTTTAGACCACGAGTTATCTGGGTATTTAAGGCATTAAGTGCTGTTGTTGTACTGTGCACTTTACGGAACCCATGCCGATGTTCGCTGGGGTCAGGTGGTTTGTAAAATACGGGAAACGGGTGTTGCAGGGTTATCGGACGATAAGACTCTCCTTTGTTGGCTGGTTTCCGCGGTTTGAGCAGTGGGACCACAAGCTAAGGACCTCCGCTAGGTACGCTACTCCCGTAGGGTCCAAATTTTTCAGCATCAGCATGCATATTCCGTCGGGTCCAATGGCTTTGNGGTCAGGTGGTTTGTAAAATACGGGAAACGGGAAAAGGAGGGTTATCGGACGATAAGACTCTCCTTTGTTGGCTGGTTTCCGCGGTTTGAGCAGTGGGACCACAAGCTAAGGACCTCCGCTAGGTACGCTACTCCCGTAGGGTCCAAATTTTTCAGCATCAGCATGCATATTCCGTCGGGTCCAATGGCTTTGGGGGCTTTCGCCTTCTCGATGGCTACCCTTACCTCACCGCTGGTGAAAACAAGAGGCGCACTTGGTTTTGGTAGTTTGTGCAGCCTTGTGGTCACGTTTGGATTTATCCACTGGAGGATGCAGGATGAACTGCCGGCTAAAATAGCTCGCGCATCGCTCCGGGTCCGAAGAAGCGTGTTGTTCAAAGTCCATTTCAACTCTGTTGTTGTTGGCATCTCAGTCGTTGTCGTCGAGTTCCACTAACGGCAGCCGTTGGGTTGTAGGGTTTTCCCGGGCATGCAAAGAGATGTTTCGAGTCGTGAGGGGTCTCTCCGCATGCCGGACATTCATTCGGCACATCCGCATTTAGCCTACTCAGGTAAGAGTTCAGCCTGCTGCAGTAGCCAGAGCGAAGTTGGGCTATTGTTGTTCTTGTCTCCCGAGGCAGATAGAGCTCCGTCGCGTCAATGTCCCGTGTTTGTGTGCCTAGAACGGCATTCACAGGTCTAGAGTCTACATAACTCGAGACTGAGTCCCTGTGAATACCGTTCACAGGTATGCTGACGGGTCCAAAGGCTGCTTAATGAACCTCTGGACTTCGTCCGCCAGTTCATATAGATGCCTCCTGACGTGTCTAGGCGAGGGCTCCTCTGCAAGCAGCTGTCTGTTTAGGTGGCCGCATCTGTGGCTCCCAACCAGAAACTGCTTGCAGAGTATTATGTTATGCTCCCTAATTCATGGAGGTGGTGTTCGGGTAACATCAGGAGGCATCCGGTCGCTGTCCTGAGTGTGGTGTTCTGTGCTATCTGTAGCTTCATCCACAGCGTCCTACCAGTCCCCGGCGACCACACTGGTACTGCGTAGTTTAAAACCCGCCGGCCTATTGCCTTGTATGTTGCAGCAATGTTTCTTTGTCTTTGTCCCAGGTACTGCCGGCTAGCGACTTGAAGACTTTGTTGCGGATCTGTACTTTGTTGACAATTCGGTTGCGTGCGCAGAGGAGAGCAGGCTGTCGAATGTTACTCCGAGTATTTTGGGGTTATTCACCGTGGGAATTGATGTATCA